GAAAGCAATGTGTCATGGTTTTCATAGCGTTAGATGTGACTTTTGGTCAGGCGTATGCAAAAAGAAATAGAATTGTACACGGTTTTGCAGAATTGTCGTATTTGGGAAAGCTTCTTCATATTCCGAAAGGAAAAAAAGGATGCGAAAAGGGGTGCCGTACCATCAGCATGGTGCGAGCGTTATATCTTGAATCGAATTGTGCTTATGCTACCAGATTCCCATCTGCTCAGCTTCGATGATTTGGTAGTTGGGTCCGAGAGGTAAAAGTGCTGACTTGTACTCTGCATGGTTCCCTCGAACCATTGATTTGACCACTATCGACTTCCGAGACTAAGCGGCTACTAACTATAAGTATTGGAACATAGGAATGATAAAATTCTGATAGGGAAGTGGCGATTGCTCTTCATAAGCTCGTTTCTACACAACTGAACACACATCGGTCATCATGAAGTTGGTTGAAATAGCCCCTACCTTTGGTAGCGGTATAGCTTGTGGGTTGTGCTCAGTGTATCACCGTGAGCCGCGCCTAAGTATCCTTCCGAGTAGGAGCCTCGGAAAAGTCCAAACTGCAACGTAGCTTTCAGCAGACCTCACCGAATCCCAGAATGCGATTTCAGGTTGTTCAAATCAGGTGAGTTACATGCCTAGATATTCATCGACCACTTCGGAAATGTGTCGTCGCAGAATTCAGCAGGAGATTTCATGGTATTCGTTGGCAACTCTTCCTGCCGTGGAAGGCGTCAGCAAAAGTTGGAAACTCTCAGAGAAAAAGCATATTGCGGAGGAAGAAATAGATCTTGACGTTGAATTGTCGAATTTGGTAATCTTTTCAACAACGCAGATAGAATCTTATTTCCAAAGGTATTTCCGCACAAAGTGCAGCAGATTGTAAAAAAAAATCCTAGCGTGCACGCGACATTAGGATTCTCTACTGAACAAATCAACAACAGCCGTCGTTTTGGGGGCAGTGACCCTCATTCACGGTGGATACCTTTTCTCCTGTCCAGACGTCGTCTAGAAAGCGGCCTAGCGGGGTCTGCTTTTGTGAAATCTAGGTTTCTCGCAACATTCGTCAGATGGATTTCTGGAGAGGGATAAAACTGATGGCTGCAAAGGCAGGCCGGAAACTCCTACGAGATTTTTGGCAATCTTCTATTAGGTTGTCCCATAATTAGTGAATCACTTTGGGCATTTTTCAATTTTAATTTTTTTCTTTTTCATATGAAGTCTTTGCTCATCCAAACATACACCTTTGTTATCTACAAACTATTGCCTATACATGGAAATTTAGTCGCTGTCTTTTCTCTAGAATTCCAGGAGCTATTGATCAAAGAAAGATCGGAAGTCGAGTTTGAGGTCATGTCACTTAGCGTAAAATTTCTTCCTGAAGAAGAGCGCTAGAAGTCAGACTAGGTTGTCTTTTGTTGGTACGAGGATAGGGCCACACGGTGGAGCTGGAAGAACTGCTAGCCTGAAGGTCTCCAATTTTTTATGAATATTCTCCGCAAGGTGGGGTCGAACGACCTCAGAAAAAAACAGACTTTGTCTTGCTTTACCTTCAGATTGAACGCGTCGCCATTATGCTGTCGACGTTGCCTTCTTCACTGACTCTAGTATTACTAGGGCGGCGGTTCCCAGCGCAAGGTCCCTTCTGTGCTCCACTAAAATCTCAGAAGTGTCGGACATACAGGTCCGACAGAGTGGTTGGGCTTTTGCTGTCAGAACTCCCGAATCTTTAAGCTGCTGCTCCTTGTGATTTTGCTAGCACACCACTTCACAACACTGGTGAATACGCAGGATGATCACTGAGAGGCAGTGTGGGAAACCAGAGGGAACATGGCGATTCCATATCGTGTTTGGGGAAAGATTCCAGAAAAATTGAAGTTTAAGCCTCGGAAGGCAACATGTGAATGGGCTGACTAATTGCTCAGGTAGGACATTGTGGGTACTACTTGGCAAAACATGTTTCACGCCTTCAAGATTTTTCTTGGAATTTATAGCAATAAATGTAAAGTGATTCACTAATTATGGGACAACCTAATAAAGCAATCTTTCACTGCGGTCAATTCTTTTCGCTATAATGTCCACAGATCTGAATTGTTGCCGGGATCTGCAGTCGAAGATCACCTGAAGCAGGAGAACCTTCGTCCGCATAACTAACGACTGGAGAACAATGGGAAAACCATTATTTAAAACTGTCAGAAGCAGTGCAGCGAGGAACTTCAAATAGACTCATAAACCCTACAGCGCAACAAAATCTTGAGTACGTCACCATCGGTTCCATAGAGCGTGGGTTGGGTGGCCCGTGGAGATGGGAGGAAGAGGAGATCCGGTGTCTATCCCTAAACGTGGTCGACTTTGTGACAAGTATTCTGAGTCCATAAAAACAACGAAGGATGGATAACCCGGAGCACCAGAGCGAAACGTCACCGTCCAAAGTCAAATCTATTTGAAATGCATAGCGCGAGCACAATCTGCAGAAGTGCATTAATTACGTGCACTGTTCGCTGCCTCGGCTCGAATTCGTCATTATTTCCTTGTCTGAAACAAAAACAAGGCTAATCATGTGCTTGCCGAATTCAACACGCTGTTCTTTGTGATTTAAGGAAGGCTACCCATACCGAATTAGTTCCACGATGTATGACCAATTATTTCACGCCGCCTCACCTCAATACTAAACGTTTCCCCAGAGCCTAGTTATGATTCGCCGGAAAAGCTATATGCGTCCCGGTTTGCAAAACGAATAGCCTTCAACAGCACATAGCGATATAATCGCTATGATAAGCTGTTT